CCGAAATCCGAGTTATAACGAAGAAGTTATGACCTGTCGAAGTTTCGCGACAAAACCGGCATGGTGCCGAATGACGTAAAAAGTGAGTTTTTAATAAACTACTTTTTAGCCTTAGTGATCTAAACGAAAGTCGTAGTGTTCGTTAAACCGAGAGTATGTATAAAAAGAACGTCCAAATCTGACTTCGTATGAGGAAGTTATGATTTTTCTAAGTTTCAGCTTAGCAGTAGACAGCTAAAAACTCGAGTTTTAGATCGAGTGATTTTTTAGCCGACACAACCTAAACGAGAATCGAAGGTCTCATCAATAGTAGTACAACGGTAAAAAGACAGATGAAAACGGACGTCGGATGAAGAAGTTATGAATTTTTAACGGATTTCATGTCCCGGTCTATTAAAAATAATAATATAAAAATTAAAGTCAAAATTAGCCGACAAAGTCTAAACGAAAGTTGTAGAGCGTAATTTTACCTACGCGTCCATATAAAGAACGTCAAAAACGGAGCTCGTATGCGAAAGTTATGGATTTTAGAAGTTTTTGCACAAAAATCGAGAAAAAATGCCAAATCCGAGAAATTTCGCATGGTGGACTTCGGCCACGTCACCTTCGCTCCATGCACGCCACGTGTCCGAAAAATGCTGAGTCACCGAGGCCATCTGGCGAGGCGTGTCGCCTTCCCTCGCATCCGAAGTGCGGTCCAGTAGGAGTCCGACGCGTGCCTCTCCTGACGTATCCGAGCTTCGCATGGTGCGCCACGAACCCAACCCTCAGACCTAGACCTCGGTCCAATCAGAGGCCAACAGCTCACCCCTCGCACGTGCGAGCCATCTGCATGCCTTCGCCTCCTGCTGCCACTCGCCTTCGCTGCTGACTCACTTTTCTTAGCCGACCTTCGGACCTCGCCTATAAATAGAAGCCTGCGAGCCTTCCCGGGTAACTTTGGAAATTTGCCACCTTTCACCCTAAATTTCATATTTTAGCTATTTTCACTTCCCCCAAAGCCCCGATATTATACCAAACACCCGAAAATACGCCCCGAAGTGCCCGAGAAGCCCGATAAATTTATATTTTCGGTTTTGAAGCTCGACCCTCGCAGAGCCCGGTTTCTCAATAAAACTCCCGGTTTTATTAGAAACGATCGTTTTAGGAAACGAAGTGCTGCCCGATTATCATTAAATCAAGTGAGTGTGTAGTTACTTTCATCTTACACATAGATATGAAACATTTTATATAAAATACGTGCTGTGTCAATATATATTGTTTGTTTATTTGAGATGGATGTTGAAGGAATGGTTTATACAGGTTTTTAAATAATTTAAACTGTATATGTATTTTTATCTACAAAAATGTTGGGTAAAACATGGGTAGACGAAATAGTGGGTGTGTGATGAAAGATGAGTTGGATAAATGAGATGATCAGTGATATAGATCATGAGTTGAGGGTGAGTGGTGAATTATGAGAGAATCACTTACCCAAACGTTGGCCCCCGTCATTCAGCAGAGTATGGATGACAACCATAGACTATTCTAGATGATCTGTGGAACACTAGCAGGCTCGCAACCTGTAAGTGTGTGAACTATATGTTCATCAGCTGTACTCTAAAAACCCATTGACATGTATTGCAGGGGGGATTCCCGTGAATAATACTGTCGATAAATAAAAGCTATGGACTTAGCACATGTTGTATAAACCCTGGAGACGATGTGACTTCGTGCCTATTCCTTAGGATGAATCCTTAGGAATGAGTGATAGTTGATTCTTAGGGTAAATCCTTAAGAAATAAATAAGATAATGGGGTTGGGGTAATTTGGTTGATTGATTGATGTTTAAGCATAATAAATTTATTTATTGTGGGTTGAAAACCCTATATGCTTACCAGGCTCCCAAGCCTGACCCACTCAGCTTTTTATATTTCAGGTAGTGGACCCCGAGCATAGTCGGATGATGATGAGTGATTTTTGGATTATAGACCAGTAGTTGTAAATAACTGTTGTAAGGCTTATAATGTCTTGTTTATGCTTTTGATCTGTATCGGAACATGACATCCCGATGTTTTGATATAAAAGGAAATTATATATTTCTTAAAGAAAGGTTTTGATGAACTTTTATCATGTTTTGTTTTGGGGGCCAATTCCGCAACATCTTTTAAAAGGATTTCTCTGATTTTATTTTAAAAACATAAATTAAATCGGTCTTTTCTGGCCGAGAAATTAGGGGATATCACAGTTAGTTTGAGGCAGAAAATTAGAAGAGACATTCGGAGAGTCAACCACATGTTTAAATATGTAAGGAGCTAAGATTTTAGAATAAGGGGTGACATATATTAAATACACTAGATTACATTACGTGAGAATCATGGGTAAAAGATTTATAAAATTTTATTAACTTAATAAGATTTAACTTTTTTTATACTTTTGTATATATTATTTAAAATTAATATATATATAATATATATATATATATATAATATATATATATATATATATATTTGAATATCTTATATACGTTATATATGTTATATATGTGAAGATATTTAATATAATTCTAAGTTATAAAACAAAATATAAATTTGAAAAGAATGTAAAACATAAAAGCTTTTCAATTTGAATAGATGTATATATTAAAATTTGAGATTAATATAAAGTTACATAAATTCTTATATTTATAGATTTATAAAATATATAAAATATATAAAACAAATTAAAAATAAAGTAACTAATTTCAACATAATTATGAAATCTGAATTATCTCCCTATCTAATAAACAAAACCATTAGTCCACATGTCCCTTCAAAACAACTAAATTCTGCCAAAGTTAAATACCAATTATACCCCTGCTTTGTTTCACCTACAAAACGATAGAAATCACACCCTGTTTTGTTTCACTTTCTACTCAAACAATACAGCTGTACATTGTTAAATCAATTCATTACATACCCGATTAATAGCATGTTATTATGGTATCTGATTTCGTAAATAAGGTATGATATCAATTGCAATTAATTTTATTTATTAGGTCATTTTAATCATATTCTGCTCTATATATACTTCTAACATATGATATCAATCGTTCCTTTACAATATACGATGGTCCGCAGGAAAGAATACCAACAACTTCTACGCGTGAAGATACTCCTTCTTTTGCATAATCTGTTTGGTACACTCTTCATTCTTGAATGTTGTTGTTTTTAATCCTGGCTTAGTATAATTCTACATGAAAGAATACCAACAATTAAACACCGTCATCGTTAAATACATATTTGTAACTGTAAGAATTAGCTCTGCAATTTGCAAATTGCAGAGCATATTTATATATATCAGTCACTTAGTGTTAAAATACATTTTATTTATAGTTCAACGAATACTATGTTGTTGTTTTCATTTGTATAGTGAAATTTTCTGTACAGGGACATAATGGTAATTTTCTTTCCCATTAAGCGCTCAATGAACTATCTGAAGTATATATAAATAACTATTGTACCCTCTTTAATTCAGAATTTTTACATCTTACTTATAATATTATTCGAGTATTATAGTTTCATAAAGTAATGTTGTAATAGGATTGTAATCCAACATACAGTAAATTACCCAATACATCCAAAATTGACTTATAACAACCTACTTTTATTTGTTTTATAGGTATACTTAGAAACTATAAGTTGATACGGGGACATAATGGTACGTTGATACATTTCATATGCAAGTTTATTTTTAACATATTATGCAATAAATTTGCCCTTTAATCGCAAATTTTCTCTACAGGGACATAATGGTAGTTTGTGTTTGTATGTGTGTTTCTTTTTTATTTTCTTTGTTTGAATGTTTGAATATATTTTATTGCATTAATTGAGTTTGTTCTTATATTATTAGTACTCCAGGGACATAATGGTAATTTTCTCCGAACCATATTACAAAAAAAATACTTTTACTATTAATATGATTTCAAAATTAAATTGTAATATTATATGTGATATTATAAATTGAAATTTTGTTATATAATTACTATTTACTTTTTAGAATAGAAGTTACTGATATTGTTTCTAATACTTTACCTTATCATAGTGATTAGTTTATCATGTGATTTAAATACTATAATTATTATATGTTCAGGAATATATTTATGTAACATTTTTTAAAAATAAATTTGTTGATGTTAAAAATTAAAATTATGAAGAATTCAAGTCATTTTTAGGATACAGTTATGATCGGATTTAGGTAATATAAACAAACTTCTTCATGAACATAAATTTGATAAATATCAATAGGATTGTAATCCAACATACAGTAAATTACCCAATACATCCAAAATTGACTTATAACAACCTACTTTTATTTGTATTAGAGGTATACTTAGAAACTGTAAGTTGATACATATTATGCAATAAATTTTCTGTAAGTTTATATATATTTGACTTCATGATTCGGTATATGGTTGAAATAGCAATGCAATTTGAAACTCTAAAAATACCTTTCAGATTTAACACAATCATTTATTTGGATGGTATTATACATAGATGCAAGTTTATTTTAACATATAGTTGACCCCAAAATAATTAAAATCATACTTATTCCATAATTGACAAATTTGCCCTTTAATCGCAAATTTTCTGTACAGGGACATAATGGTAATTTTCTGTACAGGGATATAATGGTAATTGACAAATTTGCCCTTTAATCGCAAATTTTTGAGCATACACTGATTCTAGAGGGTGTTTGTATTTTATGTGTTTGAATCCTCGAATATGCTTTATTTTAATAGTCCAGGGACATAATGGTAATTTTCTGTAGAGGGACATATAGTTTGTGTTTGTATGTGTGTTTCTGTTTTATTTTCTTTGTTTGAATGTTTGAATATATTTTATTGCATTAATTGAGTTTGTTCTTATATTATTAGTACTCCAGGGACATAATTGTAATTTTATATGTGTTTATATTTTCTGTGTGTAATTTTCTTCCATTGTTTTTCTTATTATTGTATGTGTCTTTCTGTTATAGTGACAATGGCAGATAGAAACATCACTTTGATTAAAGACTTGGACAATATGAAGGATGATTACACACTAAAAGTGTCTATCATCCGGCTATGGAGATCACTTTCAGATGTTAACCCCATTATTTTCAAATCAATCGAGATGATATTGATGGATGAGATGGTAAAATCTGCTATTCCAATAACATTATTCAAAATCATTGTTTTGTTTATTTGCTCATTCCAATAACATTATTCAAAATCATTGATGGTTGAATAACTGATTCAATGTTGACCAATTTCTATTTATTAAAATACAACTGTTTAACATTATATAATATTCTTAAACTATGTGAATAGTGTACTAAAATCCGAGCAAGTGTCTATCCAAGAGATTTTCAAAGGTTTGAATCGAAACTGAAAGAAGATCAAGCTGTTTACATCCGATCCCCCACTATCCCTCCTAACAGATACAGTTTTAAAATAAGTGATGTAACCTCCAAGTTAAACTTGAATGGAAGAACAACTGTGAATGAGTGTCTACACATTCAATCAAAAACAACATACGGGTTTTCTTGTGTTTCGTTTGAAAGAATTATCTCTGCAACAACTACATCTAATGACTCGATTGGTAATTTTTCCCCCCTTCTTGATTGTATATTATATTTAATTCTTTAATTTTACATCATTTTGACATATTGTATTATCATTTCTAGATGTTATTGGTGAAATTGTTTCGTTAGGAAAGCTTGATTCTCGTGATGTCAGCAAATCTTTGACATAGGCTACCTTTACAAATCAGAAACTTAGAGTAACCATAACTTATCTTATATTATTTCTTATATTATATTCATTACTTTACACCTTGCATGTGTTATTTTAGTATTATATATTCATTTAACCATTATTATTTTTGCAGAGGTTTGCAGGTTAACGTGACGTTGTTTGGAGATATTGCATACCAATTGATTTCTTATCTTGAAGCTCATAAACAAGTTGGTCGTATGATTGTTCTTTTGCAGTTTGCAAAAATTAATGTCTATAACGGTACATTTTTAATACAAAGCAACGTTATTTTAGGATTTTATATTAGTCATTCTTTTGACTCTTTTATTTTGTTTCATCAAGACTACCTTCCGTTAACAGTTATTTTGAACACACACGGATGTTCATAAATGCCGATCTTCCCGATATTGTTACCTTGTAACAAACTATTTTAATAATTCATTGTTTTTTTGTTTCTTTTTAATAATTTTACTAATTTTATAATTAATCTCATAAATAAAAAACAGCTTGGTTGGATTACGAGGACTTCAAAACTCTTCTTCTTCTTTGACTGTTGATAGCTCTCAATCATATTCTGAATATGATGACTTTTTGAATAATCACAATGTTAAAAATGTTGTTGATTTGCCAGAACCACAAGAGGTATGTGAATAATTTAGTCGTCTTAATGTGATTTTGTTTTCTATTTGACAAATATTATAATTGTATTTATTTTCATGATCCTTTTCTATTTTATATTATTTTAGGAAGGAAAATTCATCATTGTTGGGACCATTTATGGTATTCGACAAGATACTGACTGGTACTATGATGCGTGTACAAACTATGAAAAGAAAGTTGATGCAAGGAATGTGTTTAGCGGTTCAGAAAGTAGTGATGCAAGTGTGGTTTATGAATGCTATACTGATAAGTGTATAAAAAAGGAAATATCTTCTGTTCCAAGGTTTTTTACATTTAACAAAATTGCAAATCGACAACTTAAATACATTATTAAACATCAAACATATTTAATATTTATTTATGTGGAAATTTTTATAGGTATAAAATACCTATTCGTGTCCACATAAATAAATATTAAATAGATATTTTAAGTTGTTGATTTGCAATTTTGTTAAATGTAAAAAACCTTGGAACAGAAGATATTTCCTTTTTTATACACTTATCAGTATAGCATTCATAAACCATACTTGCATCACCACTTTCTGTACCGCTGAACACATTCCTTGCATCAACTTTCTTTCCACAATTTGTACACGCATCATAGTACCAATCAATATCTTGTCGAATACCATAAATGTCCCAACAATGATGAATTTCCCTTCCTAAAAAATATAAAATACAAAAGGATCATGAAAATAAATACAGTTATAATATTCGTCAAATAGAAAACAAAATCACATTAAGACGACTAAATTATTCACATACCTCTTGTGGTTCTAGCAAATCGACAACATTTTTAACATTGTGATTATTCAAAAAGTCATCATATTCAGAATATGATTGAGAGCTATCAACAGTCAAAGAAGAAGAAGGGTTTTGAAGTCCTAGTAATCCAACCAAGCTGTTTTTTTATTTATGAGATTAATTATAAAATTAGTAAAATTATTAAAAACAAACAAAAAAACAATGAATTATTAAAATAGTTTGTTACAAGGTAACAATATCAGGAAGATCAACATTTATGAACATCCGTGTGTGTTCAAAATAACTGTTAACGGAAGGTAGTCCTGATTAAACAAAATAAAAGAGTCAAAAGAATGAGTAATACAAAAGCCTAAAATAAGGTTGTTTTGTATTAAAAATGTACCGTTATAGACATTAATTTTTGCAAACTGCAAAAGAACAATCACACGACCAACTTGTTTATGAGCTTCAAGATAAGAAATCAATTGGTATGCAATATCTCCAAACAACGTCACGTTAACCTGCAAACCTCTGCAAAAATAATAATGGTTAAATGAATATATAATACTAAAATAACACATGCAAGGTGTAAAGTAATGAATATAATATAAGAAATAATATAAGAAAAGTTATGGTTACTCTAAGTTTCTGATTTGTAAAGGTAGCCTATGTCGAGATTTGCTGACATCACGGGAATCAAGATTTCCTAACGAAACAAATTCATCAATAACATCTAGAAAATGATAATACAATATGTCAAAATGATGTAAAATTAAAGAATTAAATATAATATACAATCAAGAAGGGGGAAAAATTACCAATCGAGTCATTAGATGTAGTTGTTGCAGAGATAATTCTTTCAAACGAAACACAAGAAAACCCGTATGTTGTTTTTGATTGAATGTGTAGACACTCATTCACAGTTGTTCTTCCATTCAAGTTTAACTTGGAGGTTACATCACTTATTTTAAAACTGTATCTGTTAGGAGGGATAGTGGGGGATCGGATGTAAACAGCTTGATCTTCTTTCAGTTTCGATTCAAACCTTTGAAAATCTCTTGGATAGACACTTGCTCGGATTTTAGTACACTATTCACATAGTTTAAGAATATTATATAATGTTAAACAGTTGTATTTTAATAAATAGAAATTGGTCAACATTGAATCAGTTATTCAACCATCAATGATTTTGAATAATGTTATTGGAATGAGCAAATAAACAAAACAATGATTTTGAATAATGTTATTGGAATAGCAGATTTTACCATCTCATCCATCAATATCATCTCGATTGATTTGAAAATAATGGGGTTAACATCTGAAAGTGATCTCCATAGCCGGATGATAGACACTTTTAGTGTGTAATCATCCTTCATATTGTCCAAGTCTTTAATCAAAGTGATGTTTCTATCTGCCATTGTCACTATAACAGAAAGACACATACAATAATAAGAAAAACAATGGAAGAAAATTACACACAGAAAATATAAACACATATAAAATTACAATTATGTCCCTGGAGTACTAATAATATAAGAACAAACTCAATTAATGCAATAAAATATATTCAAACATTCAAACAAAGAAAATAAAACAGAAACACACATACAAACACAAACTATATGTCCCTCTACAGAAAATTACCATTATGTCCCTGGACTATTAAAATAAAGCATATTCGAGGATTCAAACACATAAAATACAAACACCCTCTAGAATCAGTGTATGCTCAAAAATTTGCGATTAAAGGGCAAATTTGTCAATTACCATTATATCCCTGTACAGAAAATTACCATTATGTCCCTGTACAGAAAATTTGCGATTAAAGGGCAAATTTGTCAATTATGGAATAAGTATGATTTTAATTATTTTGGGGTCAACTATATGTTAAAAATAAACTTGCATCTATGTATAATACCATCCAAATAAATGATTGTGTTAAATCTGAAAGGTATTTTTAGAGTTTCAAATTGCATTGCTATTTCAACCATATACCGAATCATGAAGTCAAATATATATAAACTTACAGAAAATTTATTGCATAATATGTATCAACTTACAGTTTCTAAGTATACCTCTAATACAAATAAAAGTAGGTTGTTATAAGTCAATTTTGGATGTATTGGGTAATTTACTGTATGTTGGATTACAATCCTATTGATATTTATCGAATTTATGTTCATGAAGCAGTTTGTTTATATTACCTAAATCCGATCATAACTGTATCCTAAAAATGACTTGAATTCTTCATAATTTTAACTTTTAACATCAACAAATTTATTTTTAAAAAATGTTACATAAATATATTCCTAAACATATAATAATTATAGTATTTAAATCACATGATAAACTAATCACTATGATAAGGTAAAGTATTAGAAACAATATCAGTGACTTCTATTCTAAAAAGTAAATAGTAATTATATAACAAAATTTCAATTTATAATATCACATATAATATTACAATTTAATTTTGAAATCATATTAATAGTAAAAGTATTTTTTTTGTAATATGGTTCGAAGAAAATTACCATTATGTCCCTGGAGTACTAATAATATAAGAACAAACTCAATTAATGCAATAAAGTATATTCAAACATTCAAATAAAGAAAATAAAAAAGAAACAAACATACAAACACAAACTACCATTATGTCCCTGTAGAGAAAATTTGCGATTAAAGGGCAAATTTATTGCATAATATGTTAAAAATAAACTTGCATATGAAATGTATCAAAGTACCATTATGTCCCTGTATCAACTTACAGTTTCTAAGTATACCTCTAATACAAATAAAAGTAGGTTGTTATAAGTCAATTTTGGATGTATTGGGTAATTTACTGTATGTTGGATTACAATCCTATTACAACATTAATTTATGAAACTATAATAGTTGAATAATATTATAAGTAAGATGTTGTAAAAATTCTGAATTAAAGAGGGTACAATAGTCATTTATATATACTTCAGATAGTTCATTCAACGCTTAATGGGAAAGAAAATTACCATTATGTCCCTATACAGAAAATTCCACTATACAAATGAAAACAACAACATAGTATTCGTTGTACTATAAACAAAGTCAAAATGTATTTTAACACTAAGTGACTGATGTATAAATATGCACTTCAATTTGTAAATTGCAAAGCTAATTCTTACAGTTGCAAATATGTATTTAACGATGACGGTGTTTAATTGTTGGTATTCTTTCATGTAGAATTATACTAAGCCATGATTAAAAACAACAACATTCAAGAATGAAGAGTGTACCAAACAGATTATGCATATCTTCACGCGTAGAAGTTGTTGGTATTCTTTCCTGCGGACCGTCGTATATTGTAAATGAACAATTGATATCATATGTTAGAAGTATATATAGAGCAGAATATGATTAAAATGACCTAATAAATAAAATTAATTGCAATTGATATCATACCTTATTTACGAAATCAGATACCATAATAACATGCTATTAATCGGGTATGTAATGAATTGATTTAACAATGTACATCTGTATTGTTTGAGTAGAAAGTGAAACAAAACAGGGCGTGATTTCTATCGTTTTGTAGGTGAAACAAAGCAGGAGTATAATTGGTATTTAACTTTGGCAGAATTTAGTTGTTTTGAAGGGACACATGGACTAATGGTTTTGTTTATTAGATAAGGAGATATATATATATATAATATATATATATATATATATATATATATATATCCCTAACTAATAAACGAAACTAAATTGCCACGAATCCTTTCAAAAACACTAATTACATCCAATGTTAAATACCGTTTTTGCCCCTCTTTGATTTCACCTTCTATAATGTCCAGCTCAAAATAAATCAGCATTTAATATCCGATTTTATGGTATTTATGATATATGATCTCTATTTAAATTTAATTTGCACGTTGAAAAGATACCGATTAGTCCTCCAATTTTAAATAATCAATACAAAATTTTTTAAACAAACTTAACTCTTATTAATTATATAAATGTTTTATAAATTTTTTAACCACGGGTTGTAACATAGTTTTAAAATAATTAAACTGTTTAAAATATTTTCCTATTACCCAAAGTAAAATATGACTTTTTTTGTATAATTAATGAATGGTCAATAATAATAAATAAATATACATTAAATAGATATCATAAACATGTACATACGAATAATAATAATAATGTTTGTATAAATGTATATTAAATATATAAACAAATACAATAATTAATTTAAAAGTTTATATATTATTTACTTGCTTTCTAAAGTATCTGTGAATGTTTTTTTATTTCCAACTAGTTGTGAGACTCATGTATTACATGAGTTAATTAAATAAAAATTAAATACGAAGGTCTAAATAATTATGTACTTTGAATTTAAAAGAAAATAAGAAAAATAATGAATTGTTAAAATTGAATGTTTTTTATCTTTTCAATTTCAACAAATAATATAAATAAATAAACAAAAGAAAGTAATAAAATTTCATTTAAAATTTTTGAAATTGGAATGTAAGCTTATTAATGAAATTGATATCCATTTATTACTATAAATATTGCAATTATTGTATTAAAATATATGAAATTTAATAAAATCGGAAAACCCAAAAAATAACATTTGGAAAAAAAATTAATTCAAAATTACCAAAAATTGACTTTTGTCAAATTGAAGGAATGTCATGGTAAAAAAAAAAGTTTTTATTTATTAGGAAGGATTATAAAATATAATTTAATACAATAAGATCTATAAAAAATTATGAAGATATATAATGTCTGTTAAATAGAAATCATTTAGTATGATACATTTAAAGATACGTTTTACACGATATACGAAGCACAATCAATCTAAAACACAGAGTATACAAACAAAAAGATAAACATGATACATATAACTCAAGAATTCATAGCTAAATCTTTCATCGGAGAAATGGAAACTTACAAACCGGTGAGCGGAGATGGCAGTCGGCGAAATGGAGCTAACTATGAAAGAGGGAAGTCGGCGAGATAAGTAGAAACGCTGAAACAAGTGATTGCGAAAAAGGATTAGCGAAAATCGGACAATATAAACATCTAACTGTGAAAATACCGACATGTCAGCGTAGTGTAATCTTTCTGTTGAAGAAATGATTGAGCCAGTATACGATTTTAGGGTTTTTACCATTTTGTTATCTGATATAAACGATTTTTCTTTGTTTAGCTAATTTCCATCCTAAAAATTCTCCTAAATCATCAGTATGAATATACGGATTCAAAAAAATTGCCATAAAAGAATGAGAATTTGTTTTATTTGAGATGGTCCGTATATAATTTCAATAATTGGGCTATTAATAGTGTGGAAGGGGCTTCTTTCGCCTTGACAGATTTACTGGATTTCTTTGTTTATTAGCATATGATTAAAAAGGAGCATTTCAAACAAAAAAGAAAAAAAATTATAAGTTAACAGTGACATTACATTGCTATTTCTTAATACATGGACCATTTATGTAAGTACATTTAATCAAGGACTATTCATGCAACTACATTTTAAGACTTAAAAAGTAAGATGCTATGTTACACATAAAAATGAAAGTATATTGCTATTTGTTAAAGGATATAAGGCAAATATAGCACTGTACTTTAAAAGTAGTATGCTATAATTTTTTTTGGTCATAAACTATGTGTAGTAAGTAGTAAAGCGGAACAATCAAATTTACCATTATACCCCCACCCCTGTTGTATGTATCACCATATAGCATTGTGAAAAAGATTTTTTCAACCGAATATGCATTTATGATTATTCAACACTTAAATGACAAATATCCAAACAAACTTTTATTTTCTTGATTTTTTTTAGAAATCACAACAAAGGCATATGCTTTGGTGAAGATGGTTATGGAAAAGCCAAGAGTGACCAAAAGATATATATTATGTTAATTTGGATTTCTGATTTATTGATGTCATGTTCATCATAAGTATTGTAGGGTAAATAAATTAACATAAATGGTACATGTAATAAAGGAACACATAAACTAACATAGTAGTTGAAGTTTAGTAAATTAAATTAATCGCATGAAACGGTTCCATACAACAAATCAATTAAAGTATATTGCTATCTAGTGAATTTGAACAAAAAAGATTATAAATGAAATAAATAGAAAAATGGCGTAGCAGGTAACAGAGTACAATGCATTAATAATAAAAATATATACCAAATATGAACATGTACAACAAAGATGTGAAAATTGGTATAAATGGCAGCTAAAAAATAAGTTTTTTCTAATGTTTGTAGCATTATACTTAAAAATGGCAGGTAAAAAAAATGTCATTTTCTGACAGAAACCATGATTACCTGCTAAAAACGAAAATAACATGATACTTACACATATTTTTTTCTATTGTGTATTACAGATAGAGTGACATACATGTAGAGGGCATAGAGATAGAGTCACATACACACAAACGCTGGTAAGTGAAATATGAATAAAGAATTAACGAAGGGCATACATGTATCTGATGAATCAAAGTGATTGAAAGCCTGACGTTTTTTTTCTTTTGCTTTCTTAGAGGATCTGTGAGAGAAACATTTGTGTGAATAATATACACACAAAGGTTAGCAATATATACACAAATAGGATTATAACGATTTAATTTAATTGGATTGAAATCTTATTTAAAATAGAACATATCACGATTCAAATATTAAAAAAAAACAGATATATGGGTATTGATTTTATGCAACCATGATATTATGAGATTTTTATTAACTAACTAGTTTATAACCCGTGATAACCACGGTTATAAAATTAATTAAACTTTCATATTAAAAAATCAAATTATAAATGAATTATTTTAAATAAATTATTACTAAGAGATATTTTTTTAGTTATATAAAATTATAGTCGTTGATTTAAATAAACACGTGAAGTTATATCACATTATAATCTCTATTTATTTTATTTTATTTTATTTTTTATTTTAATGTTATTAATTTAATATAATTAAAGTGAAAAATTTTAAAATTTGAAACTTAAAATGGAGAATCAATTATTAATTTAATGTAATTAGAGTGAGAAATTTAAAATTTAAAATTTAAAATGGATAATTAATCGGTTGACAAGTGGCATGATAGGTTACACATAATATTAAAGAAGAGTTCTAATATTGTGACACTTGTTAATAGGAGAATAAACCTATTTATTTATTAGAATAGAGATTTCGTGGAGGTAATATGTGTTCCGATGAATACGTATTATAGATATTGTTTTACTAAATTTATTCCTGAAATTAAGGGATTACACTAATAAAATAAAATTCAAATTTAAACCATAATTTTAATTTCGTATGTAATTCCATATTTTTAGGGTTTATAAACCGGATGAGTATTAATTAATTATCAATTCCTTATCTGTAGGGATTATAAAGCGGATGAGTAAATTGAAACACTAGAAGGGCATTATGGTAAAATGACTTTGACGAAAGAAAGGATTTTGAAGTGCCACAGTATAAAATGACTCTTTTATTAAGATATGTAGATTTTATATCTGAATCACATAATATAGTCTTTAAGTTCGAAAGAAAGATTGAAAAAAAAAATATTCATTTAAACAGAAGCTACGTTGATCTTTGCAAGAATCAATCTTTAAAAGTTTCAAATGACCATAAGCGCCGATTCATATAATTTGAATGTTGCTTCATAATATTAGAGATTTTAGGTTTTTCGAGTGTCGTTGGAGATCCAAGGAAATAATTACTTGTTCATAAAGACGGTTGTTTAAAGTTTTGTATCCGTTCCGTTACCTCTTCTAATAGTGTTATAAATTATGTTGCAATGATTTTTTGTGCACCTATCTTATATAGCTAGACTTGTTTGAGGTCTTGAAGAGATGATAAGGCCATCTAGTATACATTGCACGGAGGGTTTTGTGGTTGAGGTGGACCACGACCACGACCACGACCGTGCACACCATCCCGGCCGGTCGTGGTCGATCGTGGTCGTGATGTTCCGTGTTCCAGACGACGAAGTTAAACGGCCAATCAAAACATTTTCCTTTCTTTTGACTGTTCAACGGTCATTTTTTAAGTTTTATTTTTTTTTTTCAAAAACTCAATACCTATATAAATCTAATAAAACCCTCACATTTCATCACATTTCACTCTCATTCTATAAACCAAAAAACGCATGGAGGATTTGGAATTTTTAATTTTTTTTTTTACTCGGATGATGATGGAGAATTCATCTCGACCTTCTTCAGTGTTGTGCAACACATTCACGATGAATAAAGTTCGAATGTTGCTCGTACAAGGGCGTTCGTCAATCGTGATCGCCAAGCCGCACACGACTTATTGGTACGTGATTACTTCACCGATAATTGTCTTTACAATGATGATGCATTCGAACGTCGTTTCTGTCTAAATAAAGGCTATATTTTTACGTATTAGTAATGCTTTAGAAGTCTGTTATGATTTTTTCAAACAAAAACCTAACGCTAGAGGAAGAATGGGTTTTAGTAGTATACAAAAGTGTGCGGCTGCGCTTAGGTATTTGGGATACGGTATAACATTTGATGCATCTGACGAATACTTCAAAGTATCCGAGAGGACCGCAATTGATTGTATAGATTGGTTTTGCGCATGTGTGTATGAGGTTTTTCATCAAGAATATTTGCATAAACCAACTCCACGTGATATTGAGAGATTATATTCGGCTCATGAAGAGAGGCATGGATTTCCGGGTATGCTTGGCAGTCTAGATTGTATGCATGTAGCTTGGGAAAATGTCTAAATGCATGGCATGGTCAATTCGCTCGAGGAGATATAGGTGAACCAAGTATAATCCTAGAAGCTGTCACATCTCATGATTTATGGATATGACATTCTTTTTTTGGAGTCGCAGGGTCTAACAACGACATTAACGTTCTTGGTCAGTCTCCACTTTTTAACTATCTTTGGATCGTCAAAACACCTGATATGACGTTTACGGTGAACAGACATTCGTATAAATACACTTACTACATTTGTGATGGGATATACCCGGATTATTCTACACTTATGAAGGCATATTCGGTTCCTCGAAGTGAAAATGCAAAGTTGTTCACAAAGAGACAGGAATCAGCGATGAAGGATATCGAGAGGGCATTTGGAGTCCTCAAGCAGACGTGACATGTAGTGAAATACGCTACACGACTTTGGGATAAGGAAAGAATTAAAAAAATGGTCCTAGCATGTATGATCCGGACGACGTCGTCATCCCGCTTGAAGAGTTCGTACTTGGAACGAATGAATTTTTATCACAATTTGTTGAAATTCATAACAGCAAAACGTGTTTCAAGCTTTGAGAAGATGTCACGGATCATTTGTACCAAGTCAACATGAAAGAAGATTAGTTTTTTTTTTTTTTTTTTTTTTTTTTTGTAATTTAGGTTATTTAAGTTAATGTAATGTTTTTTTTATTCTAGGTTAATTAAGTAATGTAGTTTGAAGTTGTATTTTTATTTTTAAATGAAAAACTAGTAAAAAAATCAATGTTTTTTTTTTTTTTTAAGTAATTTTATTGTATTTTTGAATTAAAAATAATAAAAAAATGATGTGGAGGGGAGTGGTTAGTGGTGGGTATCTCATAGCTACAATGGTAGTTTAGTGGTGATGACGTGACACTCACCACTATAGTGGTTAGTGGTGGGTATAACGGATGGTCTAAGCAACGTCGGTTCTTTTCGTGCCGGGGAAGAGAAAACCAAAAAAATGGGGTCCACGTGTGTATTAAAAACCAGAGTGGGGCCATTAGACCTTTAGGTATACCGGCCACGAGCCGGTTCGTGGTCTACGTGGCCACGATAGTGGTCCGTGCACACCACCCCGACTTACTGTTGCCGGTCGTGGTCGTTGAGCCTCGTGCTCGGGAGAACGATGGTGAACGACGAATGGGAGAAGAGAAGAAAATGTAGCCGTTGAACGAATACATTTTTTAAACAATTTTTTTTAAACTTCTTTTTTTACCTATAAATACCACATTTTTATACTCATTTCTTTACACAATTTTTTTCTTTCTCTATACACAATACACACACAACAATTTCATATCAATCAAAAATGGATCCCAACCAAAACACCCCACAAACTTTAGAAATCGCAAACCTGATAACGCTTTTGCGTTAGACACAACCCCTCGCCAATTCCCGACCA